AAAAATATTGTTCATCACAATCTGATTACTTGGACCAGACAAATATTATGACAAAATGTAAATGTTATCACGATGTAGCACACCATTTTCCAAAAGATTATGATAAATACTGTATGTAATAACAATGTACCACAAATTGATTATCAAAATGTGGTAAATTCTTTTCCAAAAAAAACATAATATTCATCATTCCAGAATGTTTAAAACAAACAAACACCAACAACCTGAAACTGATGTTTAGTAATCTAAAATCATGTTAGGGAATGTAATAAGAGGATACCTGTTTCTTCGATAGATATAATATCAACATCGTCGTCTAGGTCAATGGGTTGGCTTTCTTTATTTAAAAACTTGAACATCGATTTTGCCTTTAACCTACCGCTTCTTCTTCCTGTACCATTCCACATTACAAAAACAAGGGTTACGGGATTCTTCATATTGAAAATGTAGAACATAAATCGATTTTACCTATTCCTTCGTTAGCCTCCATCGTTTATGTATAGAGTTGCACTTGCGATCGACTTAGGGTTTAAGGCAATCGTCTCCTTCACGAACAAGTTGACAATATCTTCACTCTATTTGGATTCGAATTGAACAGTGTATATTAAGAATATTAACGGATTTGTAGCGCGCGCTCAAATCCGGCTCAATAAATTAAAAAACAAAATGACCATCTTGCCCTTATTCATATTATGTCATTAAATGACAGTAATTTATTTTTAGAATTACATTAATTAAGATTCCTTTTAATTTTAACCATTGATTATTAGAATGAGTGGTTGAGATTGGATCTCACATTTACCACAAACAACTCAGTTCTCATTTGATTAAGCCCCTATATATATATATATATGAAAAATTATGATTGGTTGAATGAGGTTTGTACGGTTTGTACAAATTGAGTGGTTTGCATTTGATCCCTCCTCTCTTTCTTTCTCTCTCTCTCTCTCTCTCTCTATATATATATATATGCCCATTCAAGGAAGAAGTGATTAGTTTGTGGTAACCGTGAAATCTAATCTCAACCACAAATCAATAGATAAATTAGGAAGTTCATAATTTTAGTAATTCTAAATTAAAATTTTAACGCAAGGATATTTTAGGTATTTTAAAAATCTCCTATCTCCTCTCTCCTCTCTTCTCTCTCCGTCCTCCGGTCTCTGGCCTCCGTCCTCTGGCCACCGTCCTATAGTGATACCACTGTGATAACTAAAAATATTGACTTTGTTAAACAAAAGACACAATGTGATACCCAAACACATATAAGATGCATTGTGATACCATTGTGTTACATCTCCAATCGACCACACAAACAACCTCAGTGTGATACCCAAACACATATAAGATGCATTGTGATACCATTGTGTTACATCTCTGATCGACCACACAAACGACCTCAGTGTGATACCCAAACACATATAAGATGCATTGTGATACCACTGTGTTACATCTCTGATCGATCACACAAACGACCTTAGTGTGATAACCAAGCACATATAAGATGCATTGTGATACCACAGTGATATCACCGGAGGATGGGGATGGAGAGAGAAGAGAGGAGGGATGAGAGTTTTAAAATAGCTAAAATGTCCTTGCATT